TTTCTTTCTGCAATTCCATTAGATTGTGGAGAGTAAGGAGCAGTAGTTTGATGGATTATACCATTTTCCAAACATATTTCTGCAAATGGAGATTCATATTCTCCACCTCTATCACTTCTGATCATTTTGATCTTTCTATCCAACTGATTTTCAACTTCAATTTTATACTGCCTAAATGAATCTATTGCTTCATCCATACCATTTAGCAAATAGACATAACAATACTTAGTGCAATCATTAATAAAAGTTATGAAATACTTTTTTCCACCAGGTGTTGGTATTGACTTCATGTCACAAATGTCAGTGTGAATCAGTTCTAAGTGATATGAATTACTTGCAACAGATTTATAAGGATGCTTAGCATACTTAGATTCAACGCAAACTTGATATTTTGATTTATTGCACTTAAATTTAGGCAAAACATTTAAGTTAATCAGTTTTCGCAAGGTTTTGTTATTAACCGTGTCCCAAACGTTCATGTCATAAGCATTTAGACTCAAGCAAGTAAGAAGAAGCAGAATCTTTATTCATATCAACTGCAATTACATTGAGTTTAAAAAGGCCCACATTGAGGTAACCTTTTCCTACATACATCTCATTCTTACTTACTACAACTTTATCAGAAACAAATACACATTTGAATCCATTCTTAGTCAGAACTAGTATAGAAACTAAGTTCTTTCGCAATTCCGGAACATACGAGACCCTGTTCAAAGTCACCACCTTGCCTGATGTCATCTTTAGGAGAATCTTGCCAGTTCCTTCCACCTTTGAAACAACGGAGTTTGCCATAAACAACTTCTCGTCTGTAGGTGCTGGAGTATATGATGAAAATAATTCTTTGTTGTCACAAACATGGCATGAGGCACCAGAATCTATCCACCGTTCTCTTGGATTTCCAACCAAGTTGCATTCTGAAAACATTGCACAAAGATCGTCCATCTCTCCTTTGGATTCAGCCAAATTTGTTTGATCCTTCTTCTTGTCCTTCTTGGGACCCCTACATTCAGTAGCCTTATGACCATGTTTGCCACAGTTGAAGCAGCTTCCATTTGAATTTCTTCTTTAGGAGGATTGCTCTTTGGACCAGATTGCTTTCTTTCTTTTCTTTGATTTTGTGGGATCTTCTTCAACAATATTTACTCCAGATATTGCTGAATTACCACATGACCTCTTTTCTGCGGCCTTGTTGTCCTCTTTGATTGTCAGCTTTACCATGAGATCTTCAACAGTCATCTCCTTGCGTTTATGTTTCAAGTAGTTTTTGAAGTCCTTCCACAATGGAGGTAACTTCTCAATAATGGCAACCACTTGAAAAGCATCATTCACAACCAATCCTACAATAAAGATTATGTGAGTATTAAGAATAAACTTAATATTTCCAACATAGGTATTAAATAAATTTATACCTTCAGTAAGGAGATCATGGATTATGACCTGCAATTCTTGAACTTGGGTGACGACGGTCTTACTGTCTATCATCTTATAGTCCAGAAACTTTGCCACAATAAACTTCTTCATTCCGGCATCCTCTGTTTTGTACTTCTTTTCTAAAGCATCCCAGAGTTCTTTTGAGGTTTTGACATTACTGTACACATTGTATAGATCATCATGCAGCCACTTCGAATATAATTTTTACACAAAAAGTGTAAAAATTAGAATGTGTCCATGCCTCTGTTACCAAGAATCGTTCTTAAGGCGGAGTTTCATCCGACATAACAAGAACGTTCTCATTAATGAACCTCTGCAGACTCAACGTAGTCAGATAGAAGAACATCTTTTGTTGCCATTCTCTTGAAGTCGACTCCAGAAAACTTTGCAGGTTTCTCAGCCGGTGCTAGGGTAGCAGTTGAACGATTGTGTGCAACCGATGTTGTTGCAGCACTTACTGTTCCAGCATTTACTTGACTTGAATTAGTCATTTTTTATGGCAGACAATTTTAGTATGTGAAATACTAACAGTAAAGAATAAATCCTTACACAGACTGTTTCTGATTTAACGATAAAGTTTTTATGTTCTTTTAATCGTTAATCGAATGAATTTTAAAAATTCAAACAGAGTAGAAAATCATAAGATTTTCATCTCCAGGAACCTCAAATACAGAAACTATAAATTTCTTAAGATTGTTATCTCCTGTATTCAAGTTAGTCAAAAATATAGAAACAGAAAATAGATGAAATAGACAAAATGATTTTAATCCGAGTCCACAGAAACCACTGTGTATCCTTAAGAAATTTAATCCCTTCATTGTACCCGAGGTTGCAGATTAATTCCTCCCAAGATAAAATGGATTAACCTGTTAAAGAAGTAGCGGTACCTCAAACTTCAATAACTTCAGCGAACGCAAGAACAGCAACAAGAGTACACACAGACTCAGTCGGTCGACAATTTTGTTTATGTAAGAAAATGAATGCAGAGAGGAAAAAAATTCCAGTGGTGAAAACCGGAAAATACATCTCTATTTATAGCCATTTACAGCAAGGAATGCGTCTGTTCAGACAATTCTGTTCAGACCCATTTTTTCCAGAACGTTGTGTCTTTTGGAAAAAATAATGACTTTTCGGAAGGAACAGGTCCCTTCAGAACGTTATTACTGTTGCACATGAATTTCAAATAAATTTCGTTGCGCCAAATTAATTCTGTTATTTAACTAACATTTTGAATTAATTTATAAGAGAAAAGAAATGAATTAACAAGATTGATTAAATAAATTTTGTCCAAAAATATTATCAATCAATCATTTGCCGAATCCGAGGCCGAGGCCGAGCGAGCGACGACGGCATGAGGGGGCACCTTCTTCTTAACCCTTTAAGAACTAAAGGAAGTGTTTCCTAATATAAGGACAACAATTTCCTTTCTTCTACCAATATGGTAAAAATGACTTTTCATTTGCACTTTGCAATTACTTTTCATTTTTCTCTCCAAAATTGGTTCCCCCACTTTCATTGGTTCTTCCTCTTTCCATTTTCTCTTTTTATTTCCCATTTACACCTTGTTAAACCTAACAACAAGTGATCACAACTATCCATAGTTGTCATTCCAATGCTTTTTTTTTCTTTTTTATGGAGTTCGACAGAGTTCATTTCCAAACAAAGTTATTTCATACCTAATTTCTAAAAATAAACGTAGATATTTTTGGGTTGCAAAAGATATATTTTGACTTTTTTTTTAAAACAATGATGGATCAATTTATCTAGACCACTTACAAGTTACACCTTTAATTTATCCACTAAACTAACATTTAACTGGAAAGCACTTCCGAACTTTAGCAAATTAATTCGCAATCAGTAATAAAAATATGTAACTCAAATTATATAGGTTATAATTAACCTTTTTCGATTTATTCATTCAGTTCTAAACATATTAAGTATTAGTAATTACACACTATTTCATTAAAAGTTATAATCATATATGAAATTTAAACAGAAATTTATTTTTAAAAGTTATAATCTAAACTCAGTAAAAAATATTTGGTACTTACACACTATTTCATTAATATTAAAGTATGAACATTAAAGTTAATCTCTTTATAATAGTTTTTTTTTAAATAAAAAAAAGTGACATTCTTTGATATTAATTGCTTTAAATGGTAGGGAGTAAGGACACATAAGTTGGGACAAACAGAATAATTTTAATTATGATATGATTTTCATCATATCTTTCCGTTCTTCTTTTCTAATTATTTCAAACCAACTACCTCAAACGAATACATAATTATTAAGGCTTGACGAAATGCAAAGATATAATTATTAATTTGATTCGTTTTTCCACGTTTTCCTCTTCTCTATAGTTTGGAAAAAATCTGCCGATTTAATATCCTTTTATACTGTTAAATTAGAATGCGGTGCAATGGAGGAAGTTGTTTTTTTCTGAAGAATCGTAGGATTTTGTTATAAGCTTTGAGTATGGAAAAATTCTATTAGCGCTTTCGTCGAATGGAGCCCTACGTGGTACGAATTCAAATTAATCAAACTTCAATACAGATATCGTACCTCGAATATGAATTAAAATAGCTTAAGGCTTCCTTAGGAAGTACGTATAATGATTGTTAATGAATTTTATTTACCTAAATAATTTCTATGAGCTAATAATTTCCAATAAAGTATAAAAGTGGTTGTGTCCATTCTAAAGAACTTTAAAAAGATGAACGATTTTTCAAATACCGAAATTAGGTGGGTTGGTTACGTGCCAACCTTGTCCTTCCTATAAAGAACTTTAACAAATATAAATAAGTACTCTCATAGGCCAATTTAACATCAAACTTTTCATTTTACTCTTTTTTAAAATAATTTATGATCACGAAAGTTTCTACGACTTATTTTAGATCATAAATATTTTTTTTTAAATAGTCATAGTAGTTTGCATCATATAAATTAAAATGAAAAAAGTACTAACCAACAAACTAAAAAATAAAAAGTAAGAAAATCTAGTAATCCTGCAACAAAAGGGACATCAGTGGCAGTAATTTTTTCTTTTAACGGTAATTGAGTTAATTAATATTATTCCATCCAGAGTCACTAAAGTGTTTTAGTAATATTTATATAAAGTGTTGATTATGAATATTTATATTTATTAATATCATTAAATATAATATAGTAGAAATCATTTATTTGTTGTAGCGTAAGCCGACTCAAACACATGGATGATGGAACGCTATAACAAATTTGCAAAAATTAGCCAGAATAAAGGTGGCAGTGTACAAATCACGGTCATGGGAAATAAAATAGGATAAAACCTCATTTATCACATGTAATTAGTAGTGGTTTGAATATTTAGGTAGGCCATATTTTCTCTACAAGTTGTTTAACATCTTTTTAATTCCATTTTTAAATTAAAGTGTGAGAGTCGTGTTTAAAATGTCTAGTTTAATAAACTTCATACTATATTAAACTCCACAATTATCATTTAAATGATACTACGAATTACTAATATATATCTAAAGTCCATTTTCTTCTTAATCCAAAGTTCAGTACAGATTAATTCTTAGCTTAATTTACTTTGTACATTAGTTTGAAGAATTATTAAGATGAGAAGAAAGTGTAATTTGGAGCTCAGACTTGTTCCTCCTGCCCCATACTTCGACTCCATGTAAGTACTCATTTTTTTGAAAATATACAACCCAAATATATTATATAGTGTAGATCAAGGACGATTCAAAAAAATTAATGGTCTAAATTCAATTTTTAATTTAGGCTGTAAAATGACAATCTCAAATCGATAGATCAGTCGATAAATATTGTTTCTCCTTTAATTTTTATTATAGGGGAAATAAAGAAAGCATAGATGAAGAGAAGGAACAACAGCAGCTAACAATATTCTATGATGGAAAAGTTGTGGTTTCTGATGCTACTGAGGTTCAGGTATACATATTTTGCACCTTTAATTTCCTCACCCTATTATTAATTTGAATGTGTGGTTTTATTCGGTAGAAATCATAGAATCGTTTTGCTCTGTTTTAATTTTTTTGGGTTGATTTAGTGTACGAGTATGAAATCAACTACTGTATAGTATGAATTCGGACATATAATTTTAATTTGAAGTAAATTTTTCATATTTAGAAACTAGTAAATCATAATAATAACAATTTAAAATACTAAAAAATATCATAAAATGAATTTTTGGTGTAGTTATAGTTGAAGTTTTACTTGAACTTCCCTCATATGGTCTAGTTAGTTGAACTTACTTGAATTTTCCACATATCGTCTAGTTATATTAAGATTGCACAAAATATATTAAAATATATTAAGATCATACAAAATAAGGGCATATTAAATAGTATTTATTAGTTGATATTCATATCTTTAGGTAAAGGAGGGAAAATTTGAACTATTTCTAATAGATTGAGGGTATTTTTTATCCAATAGGTGGAAGGAGGATATTTTTGAACCATTTCTATATGTTAAGGGCATTTTTGAGCCAATAAATGAAATGAGGGCATTTTTGAACCATTTTTAATACGTTAAGAGCATTTTTGAACTTTTTCTATATTTTTAACTCAAATATGTCTTTTTCATTATACTTTAAACCAAATATATTCTTTATCTGCTAATATCTGAGTCCCAGTCTTAGAATAAACACACGAAAGGTTAGAATTAATTTTAAAATCCCAAATCATTTTCGTCCTGTCAACACCCAAAACAACCCAGTAAAATAATTTCTTGCCCAAATCTATTTATAAGCCAAACAAAAGTAAATGAATTGTTTGTAAAAAAAAATGCCAACTTATTAGGTGCACGCAGTAAATGAAAACTAGTTTTTATAATTATTGTTCTCATTTTTTTCGCCAATCGAAAATTCAAAACATCAAAAAGAAAAAATTGCAAAATTTTAAAAAATAGTTAACTTTGTGTGTTTGATTCTGAAATTTTTGAAAGCTGAATTTATGTGGTGCCTGAAATTCTATTGGTTTGAGGATATAAATTTTTGACATTACTTAATTGTTGTTATTTGAATTTCATTTAGAGCATTGTTGTTGGTTAAGTTCCGTTCAAGAATTTTATTTTAATTTTTAATTTTTAAATAATAAACTTTTTATTTTGTTTTATGTTTATATATTATTATCTAACATTATATTTTTTATATTATTTTACGTTTTATTTTAAAGAATTAGAAATAAAGGTAACAACAATACTTTTGTAGGATTAAAAATATGAAGGACTTTAGTTATTTTTGTGGTGAATTTTTCGTATATGGTTGTTTAATTGTGGAATGATTTTAAATTTATTTTGCTTGATATTTTTAATTATATTTAAATCATCATGTTAATATTATATTAATATTTAATTTATTTATGTAAAATATTGATTGAAAATTTAAATATGTGCATTTTAATTTAATTAAAATAAAATTTTGAATTAATTTTTTTGTAATAGATATTTACAATAGTTTCTCTCTATAAAATAATCTTAATATTAAAAACACAATGATACTTACCCCTTTTCGTTATTTGACTCTCAAAATCACTTTTTTTTAAAGATTAGTCAAACACAATTTGCTTATCAAAAGCACTTTTCAAATGAATTATTCAAACACAAATTTATTTATTTTTAAAGCCTTTTTTTAAAAAAGTGCTTCTAAAAATAAACAATATTTAGCAATAATGCCAAACAGACTCTTAGATCGAATTATGAATTATTTTGGGTGTTGGCTGGGATAAAAATGATTTGGATCCTTCGAATTAATTCTAACCCTCCATGTATCTATCTTAAGAATGGGACCTAGATATTAATGTATAAGAGACATATTTAGCCCAAAGTATTACATGAGGAATATATTTGGACCGAAATGTACAACCAAGATATATGAAGTTTTTTCTGATAGTAGAGATAGGTAAATATGGCTCCTCCAATTTTTTTCTATGCAACTAATGAGTAGTTTTGTTATATTTCTAAATTTATTTATTTTTGTTTTTTGATAATACAGGCTAAAGCTATAATACATCTTGCAAGTAGGGAAATGAAGGAGAACACAAAAACACTATCGTCACTTTCAGAGCCACCATCACCATTATTACAATCTCAAACTGAGGTTTCTATGAAAAAATCTCTACAAAGATTTTTGCAGAAGAGAAAAAGTAGAACTCAAGCAATTTCTCCATATCATCAACAACAATAACAATAATAATATATCCAGTGAAATCTCACATGTAGGGTTTGAGGAGAATACAATGTAGGTAAACTTTATCACTACTTCATGGAAATAGAGAAGCTATTTTCAGGATACTTATCCATATCATCACTAGCTACTAAATAGACTATTTTGGTTATCCTTTATTTATTTATTTTAACTTTTCTCCCCGGCCTTCTTCAAGTTTGTGTTGTACTACCTCCATCCACTTTTAATTGTCATATTGCGCTTTTCGAAAGTCTTGACTAATTTTTAAAGTTAAATTAAATTACATTAATTCGATATTTTAAACAAAAAAAATTAGATATTCAAAAACTATACGAAAAACACTATAAATTGCAATTTTTTGCATATAAATATGATGAAAAAATACATTATAAAATGTTAGTCAAAGTTCTTATAGTTGACTCTAAAAAAAAGGAAATCATGACAATTAAAAGTGGACGGAAGTAGTAAAGAAAAAGAATCTTTTTTCATGTCATTACCGATGACATGGTTAGAGATATGTAAATTTGTATTTTTTGTAGAATTTTTTGTGGTTTAATTTATGTGATACATTCCATTCGTTGAGGATTAAGTTGACTTATTATGAATGTTAAATTAGAATAGATCAGCTCAATTATTTAAAATTTAGAAAATTATGCTAAAAAATTATGCAAAAATTAAAGTATTGTAAGTTATGGTACTTCTCATGTTAATTTGGTCTTAAAGATACAATCACAACCTTATTTTTGTCTTAGATTTGCCCAGCCATTGTTATGTCTTAGTCACACTTTGTCTTGCATGCCTTAGTCACGTCTTACCTTGCATGCCTTATCACACCAATGTCAAGGTTTTCCTCACTTGAACTTAATCTTGACCGAAGTCATTGGGCCTTGGCTAGGTTCATCAAGTAAATCCTTAGCCAAGTTGTGACACCCAACTTAAGATTAGAATTCCTACATTGGCAAAACACATGAGAGATATTGGGATTATAAGTAAGCAGACTTTATTAACTAGTGACGCGTTTTAAGCTATGCGGGCCTAGGCCCAAAGCGGAAAATATCACTAGCAGATTGAGTCGTTACAAATGGTATAAGAGTCACTCTTATGTCAACCTTGTCGATGTGGACCATACTTCAACTGAGTTTAGGCAAATCTCGGTAAGGCGGGGGAAACCTCAGTACTGAGTATAGGCAAATTCAATTCAGTGGGGTAAACCTCAGTGAGGACGCTGAGTCCTTAGAAGGGGTATATGTGACGCCCTAACTTAAGATTAGAAGTCTCAAATCGGCAAAACACAGAAGAGATGTTGAGTATATAAGGAAGCATGTCTTACCAACTAGTGTCGCATTTTAAAGTCGTGCAGTCCTAAGCCCAAAGCGAACAATATCACTAGCTGGTTGAGTCGTTACACAAGCCAGAACCACTTAAACCATCTAGTTGAAGGTCTAACAGAGGGTATACGTATAAGTTTTTCATAGATAATTAAGGTCGTTTGGAGTAATAATATACACGAATGAGCCAACATTTGGTAACCTCGAGGCTTACATTTTATCTTGTACTCCCTTTGTTCCTTTTTACTTGTCCAATTTTAAATTTTTACTTGTCCCTTTTTACTGGTCATTTTTGACAAATCAAGAAAAAATAATATTTTTTTATCTATTATATCCTCAATTTATTTAGAGAGTTAATATTTTTGAAAAAGGTAAAACCCCTTTAATGAGTAAATTGATTTTAGAATTCTATCAATTAATAGAGGTAAAATGATAAACTCACTATGTCAATTATTATTTTCTTAATAGGTGTGCCAAATAAAAAATGAACAAGTAAATAAGGACAGATAAAGAATAAAATAAAATATCTCATCTTATGCTCACACCTTTTAAAATACTAATCTTTATCACTCAAATCAATTATATACACCCAAAAAAATGAACTACAAGTAAAGAAAATCATTAACTTTCATAACATTGGAGTAACTTTGCTATGTTTCCATAAAGCTCCATCAATGGAAAAAAATTTCTTCATATATTCACGAAAATTATTTCATAACTTTTGGAATTCAATTTCAAAATTTCCATATCAAAATTGTCCCAACACTTGGGGTCTATTTGGAAAGCCAATAGGTAATTGGAATTTGTGTAATTACTAGGGTAGTAATATTAGTCTAGTAATTACGCTTATTTTTTTTTGTTTGCCACAACGTAATTATAATGTAATTACAAGTGTATTGTTTGGTTGCACAAGTATAATCATAAAGTTATATTGAATTTTTAAAATAAAAGTTAATTATCTAAAATTTAAAAAATTATATTAGACAAATAAGGGTCTTTATAAATAATATTAAATTGAATATATATATATATATATATATATATATATATATTGTCTTTTGAAAATATAAACTAATATTGTAAACAATAATTGATTTATATTTTTCAATTTGGTATATTTAATTAAATTTATCATAAAAACTAAAAGTACAAATTTCTATGAACATAATGAAATGCATGTTCGACAAAAGAATTAATATTTTAAATATAATGTCATAAAGTGTCACGACCCAAATATGAATGTGATGACACTCGTCTTATCCCACCAAGACAAGTCAGCCTAAAACCCAACCATTGTCATAAAATGCGGAAATAAAATAAAAATAGAAGTTTTATACTCAATTACTAATGCGGATAATATGTCAACATAACTAAATTCTCAAAACCTGGTTGTCACGTGTACAAACCTCTAAAGTATTACAACTGAATCAAAAGAAAATACAAGTCTCGCATGACATTGTTTCTAGAATAGAACAAGATCATAAATAAGGAGAAAGCAGGTCTGTTGAGATGACAAACATCTACCTCACAAATCTCCACATGAAGCATTGGACAAGAAGAGAATAGAAAGTATCAAGAAGATTCGGGCTAGTAACCTACAAAAAATGTAGAAGCAAGTGGTGAATACCAAACCACACGGTACCCAACAAGTAAACTCCTAAACACAAGCTAAGGGAACAAAATACAGGTACTTCTTACACCGCATCATAACCTCCACTACTACAACCTGCATAAAAACCAGCCCAACCTAACAGTTCACAGTTTACATAGCACACAACTCAACAACAGCACTCTAACAGATTACATATCCTCAACAACAACACTCTAATAGATTATATATCCTCAACAACAACAACTCAATATTCATCAATCACAACTTCCACAGAAAGGCACTCACAAGATCAAGTTCATCAATGATAAAAATGTGCAATGCAATGAAATGCTATGTCAAGTATAGTGATGCATGTCTGACCTAACGATACACACCCGTTGTCTCTCAGTCCGGGACTCATGGGAGACATATATGTTCATGCATCTGTCGCGACGCGCGACACGTTTCTCGATAATAGAATCCATCGACGCGTGCGATACGTCCCTCGAAATATAGTATTCGTCGCGGCGCGCGATACATCCCTCGAAATGGTACATCCTCTCTAATTTCTTACTCCTTCTCAATTCACATAACACTTGTTACAACGATGTCTCAGAACAATGCAAATGACATGTTCACACAAATATTGAGGAGATTACCATTTTCATAATAATGCACAATTCACAACAACACAATCGTGATACAACATCAACAATGAGTCAACAAGCCTTTCAAACCATTCTCAACACATCACACACCATTAATTAATCACATTGTCTTTTATTACCCCTTTTTCATCATTAGAATTAGTCAATATGGACAAGTCAACCCATCACCAAGTCTCATTACCCCCAAACACATATTACAAGGAAATACACAAATTCCATACACTTAACAAGGGTTTAGAAATCCACTTGCCTCAAATAACCGAACAATCACTTTGGGACTTGAGTCTTCCCTTTTCGTTGAGCTTCCAAATCAATGCAATCTATTCAAGTACATATTCACAATAAGATTTCGAAACTAACAACACCCACATTACTATGTGTTTAGCCTTGATCTAAAAATTCACCAAAGTTTATAATTAAGTTCGTAAATGTTGATGCCAATTAACATTTCAACTATCATATTTTTCAAGTTTCAAGTTTAGGGTTAAGTCATAATTTCTCCAAACACTACAACTCTAATAGTTTTCATAATATAATACATCCAATATTTAATTACGTATCTCAATATATCAAACTTGGATCATAATGTGATAATAAAATCCAAAATTGAAGCTAAGTACACTATTTGTAATTTTAACCACGAAAGGAACGAATGAACCCACGCCCTAACAGTGCATTTATTTACATTTCACCACCCTTACACTACTTCACAATCATTAACTCATTATTACCCAATAACATTGCAATCATTAATTAATGCCATCCATTAAAATTGTCTCCAAACTATTAAATAACTCACATACAGCCAACATTAATAGAAAGACAATAACTTCTAAACCCAATATTGATAACATGCCCTTTATTCTATATACATATACGTATATATAGCTAACTATATAAAAAAGTGTAAGACTAGATGTACTTTTGTTTGTTTACCTGCCGGAAGTTTGAAGCTTTCTTCATAATTCGTCCGTAACGGTTCTGCCTCCCTCTTCTTTTCTTAATAATTAAGTATTAAAAACTGACAAGCCCCTACTACTTATTTTAATATATATATATATATGGGCCAAGAGACATAAGCTATTAAATAAATTATCAATTCAGGCCATTAGCTATCAACTAAATAAAATAATTTTCCAGGTCATTACATAAAGTTATAAAAATATTTGACAAAAATAATTATCAAGTCTAACGAAAAAAAAGCTTGCAATGTAAAATATCAAGTCAAAAATCCTAAAACAAATTAAATTGAAAATATAACATAAGTTTTAAATTCAAAACAAAAAAATTAACATAATATTTTTATGTCAATTTCAACATAACATACACAAATATTATTTAAATTAAAAAAAAAGGAAAACGTAAGTTCATGTCACGACCCAGACCGCCGTGATTGGCACCCACACTAACCCTTCGGTGGAAGAACCATTACTACACTCCGACTAAACATTTTTAAGGAACTAGAGCATTTAAAGATACAGAAGTAGGTTTAAATGACTAATGAATTATGGAGTTTCCATAAACTCCGAAGATTCAATAAAACAACTAAACAAACTATTGCGGAAAAAACT